ACCTCATTAAACAACTTGCTGTAAAACTTTCTGAAAGAGATCTCATTAAACAACTTTCTGTACTACTCTTTGTGGCTGATTTTACTCTGTGGGCCCGTGATATGTACTCAAAGGCGCCAATCCGACAGCTCAGGGGAGCGACCCACTAAACATATCGGACTCTCTGAAACTAATAACTCTGTAACTCTGTGGGAACTTGTTCCCGAGTACATATCACTTAATCTTTCACTTTAAGTATTAGTTCTTTTTACGGTGACGTTTGATTAAAACATCATTAAATCTGAAAATTAAAGCACGGACAAAATATTGACTATGCCAGATAATAAACATAACTTAATACATCAAATAAAATAACTCATCACATAATTCACCTAGTTCACATAATAGCAAATAGTCTAAAATCATCTATCAAAAATCAACCAGACTTCTTTCTTTATTTGGTTGAACAAACATGTACAGGTGGTAGTGAACTTACCTGAAGAAGCTGAACTCAAATTACTCAAATAAGTGTGGCACCTTGATAACGTCTCCCGATAAGTTCTTCTTTTAATCTTTATTAAATATAATATTAAAATTAAAAGTCATTATGCTAAGTATAAAAACTGAAACCGATTGTACTGTAAACGAAACTCTGAAACTTAAACTCTTATCATTCTGCTTAAAAATGCCGACCAGATAATTAGTTCAATGGTCTTTTTGTTATCATACCCAAAATTAGTCATCTGTAAAAGGAATCGTGGGAAATTTGAAACAGCTATCCATAATGGATATTTAAAAGCTGATTGCAATTTACTGTTTCAGAAACAGTAGGGTTAGAACCAATCTAAAAAAAACTTTGAGTTTATCTCTAACAAAATGTTAAGCAAAACCCAATCCCAATAACCAAAATTAACAAGGTCTGGAACAATACGTAGGAACAGAGCAGAAGGTATTGCCCAATTTAAAACTTCAAACATATGTGATGTCTATAATTCACAGTTTCACACGTGAACAAAGAAACTGCCCATTATTTAAAATAGGAGGAATCCCATCATTACAAAAGAAACAAACTAAATAGGAATTGTAGAAGTGACGTACCAGACTCTTGGCTCCTATAAGGGAGATGGAAACTTTTCGTATAGGACGAAAGAATACTGAGCAGCGGCTACTTGGAGGAGAAAATAGACATGGAAAGGTTTAAGGTTTACTACTGAAAGGACTTACTAACCGACATATAAATTCCCTTCTAGGGTTTTGGCTAAAAATACTGATTCGGGCCGAGATAACTGATTTGGGCTTTCGAATAACTCCCACAAAAAAATTCCTTTAACACATTAAAAGTATTTTCTACTCCTATTTCAAATAAACTGATTTAAGCTTTAAAATATTACATATTTAGTCACTTAAAATTATTAGAGCTTACCGGTCAACGTTACCTGCCAGAACAACACATGAACAAACAATAAATCACATTATTCATAAAATAAACTTATTTAACTGACTAAATAAAATTAAATATTAATGTAACTAGATCGCTAAAATCAGGGTGTTACACGTTTTAACGTATGCAAGGTACACGACGTGTTTCATATATCTCAACTGAAGAAGTATATCCGCGATGAGGCGCATATCTTAAACCCGGAGGTAAGAACCTCACTTTTAAAATAGCTAATACGTGATGGGTAGACATTAAAATTACCCTTTATGTAATTAGGTGATTGAGTTGGACGAAACCTTGACGTATGAGGAAAGGCCTGTGAAAATTTTAGACACGAAGACACGTGAAACTCGAAGGAAGGCCATCAACATGGTCAAAGTTTTGTGGTCAAATCACTTGGCTGAAAACGCCACATGGGAGACAGAGAATGACATGAGAAAACGTTATCCTGAGCTATTTTGTCAAGGTAACATTTTAGTTACGGGGACGTAACCTCTCTTTTAGGGGGGTAGAATGTAACACTTGAAATTTTAACCTAGCTTATGCTTCGGGACGAAGCATCTTTTAAGGAGGGTAGATTATAACACTTTGAAAATTTAAGCAAATAATAATAATAATAATAATAATTAATAAATAAATAAATAAATAAATAAATAAATGTTACAAAAGTAAACAACGGAAGTGACGTTTTTGTTGTAAAGTGATATGTTAACTTATGTTACGTATTCAAATGCAACTTAAATTACTTTGTACATTAAACCAAAGAATAATGATTGACTAATCAACATAATATACGTAACACACGCACCCACTAAATTAATTTAAAATATACTCTACAGAAAACGAACATCGCACAAAGAAGGAAATAATCCCCAACCTTTCCACCTTAAACCTGCGGTTACGTAAACTTAATATACAAATAAGGAAGACCTCCGTGCTATCCGCATATGATCAATACTCAGTATATACGTAGTAAATAACGGACGTTACTCATGGTAAATCATTAAAGACCGGAGATTTCTAACGTATGCCTAGAACCATCCATAATCAGTATAAATACGCATACCCACGCTGCAGTATGCATTGCGCTTACTCGCCTAGCACCATACTATACACTCTATAGAAGCCTTCAATTCGTGTTGTTCCGGTCTACACCATCGGAGGAGAAGAAATAGTTCGCCAGAGGGAATCCGTACGCCGTAGGAAAGCTGCACGTAGCGGGGTGACGCCGAGGAGCCGCTGACGTCAGGAGAGATACACCGCCGCCGAGCTGCCGCCAAGCGTCGCCGTCACCAAACCAGTTTCCGTCGTCGAGTAAGGTAACCCTGTCACACCTGCGTTTTGCGTTTCAAGCGTAACTCTTAGCGAAGAAGACGACCCTGGAGTATGTATGTAATCTGGAAATTTAATCGTTGGGCCGGAAATATTTATAACTATGCTTGAACATAGTGATCGATAATAGTGAATAACTGGGTATTTCTTGTGTGTTAAAACTGGACGGTTTAGTTCTTAACAATTGACTTCGAATGATTATAATAATAATATAATAATGTGATAACAACGAATAGTAGTAGTGATAATAAACTACCAAATTGTTAAATGATTTAGCCTTATTAATGGAATATAGATTAGTGGAATAATTTTATAGTAAAATAACTCAGAAAGTCAAAACTGGAATTTGGAAGCATGGACCGATTAAACTAAAGTATAAATTTTGGCTACCTTTAGTTCAGGCTGGATTGATTGAATTTAGTTAAGGCTAGATTAATAATTTAACAGAACATACCAATTAGACGATTTCGTATACCAACCTGTATTTGTAAATATTTTATCTTAATACGAATAATTGTAAATTACCGTATTGTGTAAACCGAATAAAATAATTGGCATTCCATAAATGGTATAAAGTAAAAATACTGGTTATTGTGAATTATGGCAATATTCTCTAAACTACTAAATCAGAATTCGAATAAATAAAATTTATCAAATGATATGACTAAAGCCTTATTAAACTAATGACTTTTAATTGTACATCAATAGCAAATTGTAAAGAGCAATATAAAGAGTAATTATTAATTTCAGATCCGACAACATGTAAGGACTTATTTATTATACATGATAATTGAATCGGAATGAACAGGATTTGTACTACTATACTGATTAAATTGATTTAACTAATTGATATTTAAATCATATATATACCATAATCACGAAGTAGTTAGCAACTACTCATATTCGAGAAAATGGGGAAAATATAGAAGTAACGGATAAAAAGGGGTTAGGCCACAACTTGGGTAGCGATTGATATTGGGTCTTTCTTTAATAGAAGGTGAATTGGGTGAAGGTGCATAGTTGGAGGATTAGCTATAACATACCTGGAGTTGAGGTAAGTCACATTGCAACCAAAATTATGTTTTTACCTCGTAAATAATTATTTACTTGATTTATGTGATGGTATGAATATTTTGATTGATGAATTACTTGTGAGCAAGTTGTATTTGTTGTGATTCTGAGATATATCTGATTATGTGTATATGTAATATATTTTGGGGAAAATATAAAGTTATGAATTTAAGGATAATAATCCTTGTGGTAAAATTTTGTCCAAGAGACATAAATGTGGAATCTTTTTGAAAGTCAAGATAAAAGACTGTTTTCATAATTGGGGCACCACGGGAGAAATCCGTAGGTGTCGGGCCACCTTCACGTCCGTTAATGGTGAGGGAGGGTTAGGACTACTACTACTTGAGTTAAGAGGTGTAAAGCAAATTAAATGAATTTTTGGAGGGTTCGGTAACCACCCCGAACAACTGGGCATCAGATCCCTTTTTATTAAAGCAGTAGTAGTAGTACCTATTCTCTTAAGGGTCTTTGAACCTAGAACTTGGGGTGTGACACCCCGAAAAATTTAAATAAAATAAATAATTTTATTAGTCAGATAAAATAAGTGAATCAGATAAAATTTTAACATCAATGACATTTTTTTAAGATAAAAATGTTTCAATAATAAAGTGACATTTTTGTAACAAGTGATAACTATAGAGATGGTATAAATAATAAAAGTGATATTTTAACAATTCTAATTCAAAGATATTGGTCAATAAAGTTGTACCGAAATATATAACAAAGTTGACTTTTTGAACCCAACCCCAATAATAATATGTACATTACTATACGTGGGATTCTTATATGTGACATGCCTGGGAGTAATTGCCAAAGACATACGCAGTACCTCGTATACAATACATCTTAGCCGCTGGTTTATGAAGGCTGAAGTCTACGTTCATGAACAAACGTACTGGGTCAATTGCCAAACATTTCCACATGGTATTGTTTACATCACAGTGCTACTCTTCAATAATAATACACACCAAAACAAACGTACTGGGTCACCATAATAGATGTGATAAGATTTGCAAGCACAGGAAACGCTAAAGTTAGAAGCATCGGCGAAGGGAATAATCAGCGTGGACTATTGAGATCCACTTATTATTTACGTTCGACGACAATTGAGATCCCTAGCTACCTGCGTTCACAACTTTATATACGCTACCTCAACCCTGCCAAACAAAAACCTACGACCTTAATATACATTAAGTCTGCGTGTGAAAGAAAAGAAAAGAAACGTGAGAAAGAAGAGAGAAAAGAAGAAAAGAGTGAGGGAAAGAAAGGAGCAGAGGACTGTCCGAATAATCGCCACCACCCAACAAAACGCCTCGCCGGGAAAAATTTCAACGACGCCGGAAAAAGGAGCTCGTCGGTAAAAGAAAGCAGGCTTGCTGTAACACAGTAGCAGGCCGCCAAGGAGAGAGACTGCTGCTGCGCCGGAGGAAGAATATCCCAGACGGCTGCTACCCAATCGCCGGACTGAACGAACTCTACCCGCCGCCTCACCGGTACTCTCTAAAGAAGACGTACGACTCGTATGTATACGTATACTCTGCGTTATTTTTCTTCAGTTTCTTACATCTGCGCTGAAGCTTTATTTATGTTAGGCTGGACTGTTTGTTACACCGTAGGGCTGTCAGAATAGTTTAAAAGAAATATGAAGATGGCCTGAGCAAATGACAATAAATAAACAATGAGATTAACAATAAGTATAATAATAATAAAGTAGGACTAAACTATTGTAACTGGAATTTTGGCAATCCGAAAAGCCTAAATTTCTGGACCAACAAGGGAGATTATTATAATATAAAGCCAAGTGCGTAGATAATAAAATCTGAAATCTTAAGTAAATTAAAAATGGCCTGATTGTATTGTTAGCCTAAAATGAACGGAGTAAATAATGAGACTTATTAATGGACCAATTAATAAATGGATTAGTATCTGGACGAACTAACTACTATTCAAATGTGAATAAAAGTTATTAATCATGAGAGAGTTAAATTTAAACCATAACGGAGTAAATATTAGTAAAGGTCTAGAGTAGTTATTAATGAAAGAATTTTAATATTCTTTAGAAGGTGATTTCGGTGAAGATGGAAGTAGAAGCTTCGGTTAGGAATTATCGCAATTCGAGGTAAGTACTATGTCAACCAAGTTTCATGCTTTTCCCATATAAATTTATTTGTGACTAGTTATTTGAGATCATTTGAGTATATGATAGTTAATGAGATTTTACGTATCAATTGTGATTGTGAATTATATATATTCGAGAGATTCGAGTATTTTTATATTGGGTGATATTTTGAGCATTTGAATTTACATATGAATTGTTATTGGATTGATATTTGAGATTTGAGCTATTTATGAAGTATCCTATATTTTGGACTATTTATGGTATATTTGAGTATGATGAGTTGGAGTTAATAATTTCATTGTGAATAATTTTGTGGAATTTGGATTTCATATCCATTTTGATTTATGTTATGATACTTGAAATTGAGATTGGATTATGATTTTTGTGAGTACTCGGAGAAATGTGGATTTGGTGAGTGCTAATGATTATAAGTCTAATTCCACCAGGGATCTCCCAAAAGTGGAGCATCCCAGCTTAATTGTAGTAGTCGGTAGAAAAATCCCGACTACTCGGACTTTTTACTACCCGGAGAGCTTGGAATCTCTTTTAGGGGGTGTGCACACTTAAGGTAGGAGTTCGGCTTCCATTGGATTTGATTGAGTTTGAATGATTGGATTATGTTTGGATTTAATTGGACTTGGATTCCATTGGTATTGAGGTGAATTGGTTTTGAGGCTTTGAGGTGAATTTAATTTCATTGGAATTGAGGTGATTTGGATTATTTGGTTGGACTTGATTGAGGTGAATTGAATTATATTATATTGGATTATTTGAGTGTGTTATATTTTTTTTGGATTGGATTGAATTTGAGATGGTTGAGGTTATTAAATTATTTATGGATTTCAAAAGTAATAATTTTGGATTTGATTAAATATAAGTACCTATATTTGGAATATTATTATTATTATTATTTTACATGTGATTTGTGATGAGAAGTTTGTATAAAGTGTTTTATAAGGTTTCCTCCCAAATGTTTTCACAAAATGATATATATGTATCAAACATGATTATTTTACAGGGTTGGGTGGGCCTTACTTAGCATTTCCAGCTAATTTTTGTTTCTTTGTGTTTTTCTTTCTGTACTTTATTTGTGCAGGAATTGAGGATCATATTGAAGTTGATTTCGAGAGCTTCCGCTAAAACACATAGACTAAAGTGATTGAGTAATTTATTTTAGTCTTAATTTTAAAGAATTGTAGTTGAACAGTTAATTATGGAAAATTTTAATTTGTTGGTGGTGGATAGCCTGTGCACTCGGTTATGTGAGAACCGAGTGTGGCGGTAACGCCCCTTATTTCCATTTAAATTTCCGCTGCACAATTCTGATGTTTTCAAATAAAGTTTAAATTCTTTTGAATAAATCATTATTCAAATGTATTTTTGGGTGGGAAATTTGGGGGTGTTACAAGTTGGTATCAGAGCCTTTCTTCTTTTTTTATGGGGGTTTTCAAACATTTTCTGAGATTTTCTTTTTCCTCAAGTGATACCAACAAATTGGTATGATTTTCGAAAGTGGATTTTTGAATAAAAGTTTTCATTCACTAACTTCGGTTTCAAAAAAAAAGGAGTTCATAACATTTTATAAGATTTTCTAAAACTCTTTAAGAGATACCAACAAATTGGTATCAGAGCCTTTGATTTTTTTTAAATGGGGGTTTTCAAATAAAAGTTTTTCCTAAAGTGACTATGGTTTTCAAAAAAAAAAAAAATAGTTTCGAACATTTTTTTTTTACTTTCTAAAACTTCAATGAGTAATACCAACAAGTTGGTATGAGAGACTTTGATTTTCTAAAATGGAGTTTTTTAAACAGATTTTCTTAAACTCCCTTAAGTGTATCAAAGCCTTAATATTTTCCAAGGGGACTTTTGTAAAATGCTTTTCTGAAATACTAAGAAATTAATTTACTAGGGAATAAGTAATAACTTCTAGGACCGCGGTGAGAATGTGAGATTTTGAATTTCTATTTTGGTGGAGTTTGTGGTTCTTTGAATTGTTTGAGTTATACTTAAATGAGATATACTTACCAAATTATGTGAATAGTGAGTTATTAGGTAAGGTAGTGTAATTGTGAATATCATTCGATATACTTCGTGTCCTAAACATTATTCTTTCAAGTAGACAATGAAGTCAACAAGAAACAAAGTAGAAGACAATGCCGTCGCACCGACGAATGCGGAGTTGGCTCAAAATATGGTTCAACTCATCCAGACCATCGGGAGTGTGCTAATTCAGAACCAACACCAACAACGTCTCAAAAACCGCAATGATGTAGCGAAACATGTAGCGAAGCGCAATCCACCATGTTATTTAGGCCAAGAAGACCCTCTCATCCTTGAGGATTGGATTCGCACTTTCGACAAACTCTTCGATGCTATAAACTGCCCTGCAGATCAACGAATTAATACGGCTGCGTACTATCTATGTCAAGAAGCAGACAATTGGTTGGCCACGACTGCCCCAACGTTGCGTCAACAACCCGACTTTTCTTGGGAGACGTTCAAGGAGGCAATGCGAAAAAGATTCTACCCAGAGCACGTGAGAGCTGAGAAGTATGAAGAATTTTTACATCTGAAGCAAGTAGGCATGACTGTCCAAGAGTACCACTCTAAATTCTTGAATCTCGCACGATTTGCACCCACGCTAGTTCCCGATGAAATCGAGAAAACAAATAAGTTTATACGCGGTCTGAACTTCGAGACGCAAAAAGCTCTTTGCGTTTCAGAATGCCAAACGTTGAACGATGCCTACAACAAAGCTGGCAAGCACTATCGAGTGCAACAACTCCAGAAGAAAACACTCAAGAGAGCGAGGAAAGTGACTGAAGGAGAAAGCAAACCGGGAGGCAAACAATGCAAGCTAAATCAGCTAGGGCACACTCGGAACGAGAAGAAGATCAACAACCAAGGCCAAGACCAGAAGCGTAAGAAGAAGAACTCAACTGAAGAGATGCACTTCTACTGCTCGAAGTGTAGAAAAGATCACCCTGGGAAATACTGTGATGGAACGCTCGTACGATGTTTTCATTGTGACAAGCTAGGACATAGGGTGTTCGAGTGTTATTCAAGGAAGAAGGGAATCCCTCCAACTCGTGGACTCAATCATCATCCAAAACGCAATGGAAGAACCTCAGAATAGTAGGCGAAAACATATCAATTCCTAATTTTCATAATTAGTAAAAATGTTTGAGAATTATGTATCATTTGATCTTTGACGAATAAATTATTTTCTTGAATAAGTTAAATGCTTCGGGGACGAAGCATTCTTTTAAGGAGGGTAGAATGTGACACTCCATAAATTTAATAAAAAGAATTTAACATTAATTAAAATGTGACACCACACAATTATAGTTGCGGATATTTTTCTTAGCTTATGCTTCGGGACGAAGCATCTTTTAAGGAGGGTAGAATGTGACACCCCGAAAAATTTAAATAAAATAAATAATTTTATTAGTCAGATAAAATAAGTGAATCAGATAAAATTTTAACATCAATGACATTTTTTTAAGATAAAAATGTTTCAATAATAAAGTGACATTTTTGTAACAAGTGATAACTATAGAGATGGTATAAATAATAAAAGTGATATTTTAACAATTCTAATTCAAAGATATTGGTCAATAAAGTTGTACCGAAATATATAACAAAGTTGACTTTTTGAACCCAACCCCAATAATAATATGTACATTACTATACGTGGGATTCTTATATGATAGTTAATGACTAGTTATTTGAGATCATTTGAGTATATGATAGTTAATGAGATTTTACGTATCAATTGTGATTGTGAATTATATATATTCGAGAGATTCGAGTATTTTTATATTGGGTGATATTTTGAGCATTTGAATTTACATATGAATTGTTATTGGATTGATATTTGAGATTTGAGCTATTTATGAAGTATCCTATATTTTGGACTATTTATGGTATATTTGAGTATGATGAGTTGGAGTTAATAATTTCATTGTGAATAATTTTGTGGAATTTGGATTTCATATCCATTTTGATTTATGTTATGATACTTGAAATTGAGATTGGATTATGATTTTTGTGAGTACTCGGAGAAATGTGGATTTGGTGAGTGCTAATGATTATAAGTCTAATTCCACCAGGGATCTCCCAAAAGTGGAGCATCCCAGCTTAATTGTAGTAGTCGGTAGAAAAATCCCGACTACTCGGACTTTTTACTACCCGGAGAGCTTGGAATCTCTTTTAGGGGGTGTGCACACTTAAGGTAGGAGTTCGGCTTCCATTGGATTTGATTGAGTTTGAATGATTGGATTATGTTTGGATTTAATTGGACTTGGATTCCATTGGTATTGAGGTGAATTGGTTTTGAGGCTTTGAGGTGAATTTAATTTCATTGGAATTGAGGTGATTTGGATTATTTGGTTGGACTTGATTGAGGTGAATTGAATTATATTATATTGGATTATTTGAGTGTGTTATATTTTTTTGGATTGGATTGAATTTGAGATGGTTGAGGTTATTAAATTATTTATGGATTTCAAAAGTAATAATTTTGGATTTGATTAAATATAAGTACCTATATTTGGAATATTATTATTATTATTATTTTACATGTGATTTGTGATGAGAAGTTTGTATAAAGTGTTTTATAAGGTTTCCTCCCAAATGTTTTCACAAAATGATATATATGTATCAAACATGATTATTTTACAGGGTTGGGTGGGCCTTACTTAGCATTTCCAGCTAATTTTTGTTTCTTTGTGTTTTTCTTTCTGTACTTTATTTGTGCAGGAATTGAGGATCATATTGAAGTTGATTTCGAGAGCTTCCGCTAAAACACATAGACTAAAGTGATTGAGTAATTTATTTTAGTCTTAATTTTAAAGAATTGTAGTTGAACAGTTAATTATGGAAAATTTTAATTTGTTGGTGGTGGATAGCCTGTGCACTCGGTTATGTGAGAACCGAGTGTGGCGGTAACGCCCCTTATTTCCATTTAAATTTCCGCTGCACAATTCTGATGTTTTCAAATAAAGTTTAAATTCTTTTGAATAAATCATTATTCAAATGTATTTTTGGGTGGGAAATTTGGGGGTGTTACAAGTTGGTATCAGAGCCTTTCTTCTTTTTTTATGGGGGTTTTCAAACATTTTCTGAGATTTTCTTTTTCCTCAAGTGATACCAACAAATTGGTATGATTTTCGAAAGTGGATTTTTGAATAAAAGTTTTCATTCACTAACTTCGGTTTCAAAAAAAAAGGAGTTCATAACATTTTATAAGATTTTCTAAAACTCTTTAAGAGATACCAACAAATTGGTATCAGAGCCTTTGATTTTTTTTAAATGGGGGTTTTCAAATAAAAGTTTTTCCTAAAGTGACTATGGTTTTCAAAAAAAAAAAAAATAGTTTCGAACATTTTTTTTTTACTTTCTAAAACTTCAATGAGTAATACCAACAAGTTGGTATGAGAGACTTTGATTTTCTAAAATGGAGTTTTTTAAACAGATTTTCTTAAACTCCCTTAAGTGTATCAAAGCCTTAATATTTTCCAAGGGGACTTTTGTAAAATGCTTTTCTGAAATACTAAGAAATTAATTTACTAGGGAATAAGTAATAACTTCTAGGACCGCGGTGAGAATGTGAGATTTTGAATTTCTATTTTGGTGGAGTTTGTGGTTCTTTGAATTGTTTGAGTTATACTTAAATGAGATATACTTACCAAATTATGTGAATAGTGAGTTATTAGGTAAGGTAGTGTAATTGTGAATATCATTCGATATACTTCGTGTCCTAAACATTATTCTTTCAAGTAGACAATGAAGTCAACAAGAAACAAAGTAGAAGACAATGCCGTCGCACCGACGAATGCGGAGTTGGCTCAAAATATGGTTCAACTCATCCAGACCATCGGGAGTGTGCTAATTCAGAACCAACACCAACAACGTCTCAAAAACCGCAATGATGTAGCGAAACATGTAGCGAAGCGCAATCCACCATGTTATTTAGGCCAAGAAGACCCTCTCATCCTTGAGGATTGGATTCGCACTTTCGACAAACTCTTCGATGCTATAAACTGCCCTGCAGATCAACGAATTAATACGGCTGCGTACTATCTATGTCAAGAAGCAGACAATTGGTTGGCCACGACTGCCCCAACGTTGCGTCAACAACCCGACTTTTCTTGGGAGACGTTCAAGGAGGCAATGCGAAAAAGATTCTACCCAGAGCACGTGAGAGCTGAGAAGTATGAAGAATTTTTACATCTGAAGCAAGTAGGCATGACTGTCCAAGAGTACCACTCTAAATTCTTGAATCTCGCACGATTTGCACCCACGCTAGTTCCCGATGAAATCGAGAAAACAAATAAGTTTATACGCGGTCTGAACTTCGAGACGCAAAAAGCTCTTTGCGTTTCAGAATGCCAAACGTTGAACGATGCCTACAACAAAGCTGGCAAGCACTATCGAGTGCAACAACTCCAGAAGAAAACACTCAAGAGAGCGAGGAAAGTGACTGAAGGAGAAAGCAAACCGGGAGGCAAACAATGCAAGCTAAATCAGCTAGGGCACACTCGGAACGAGAAGAAGATCAACAACCAAGGCCAAGACCAGAAGCGTAAGAAGAAGAACTCAACTGAAGAGATGCACTTCTACTGCTCGAAGTGTAGAAAAGATCACCCTGGGAAATACTGTGATGGAACGCTCGTACGATGTTTTCATTGTGACAAGCTAGGACATAGGGTGTTCGAGTGTTATTCAAGGAAGAAGGGAATCCCTCCAACTCGTGGACTCAATCATCATCCAAAACGCAATGGAAGAACCTCAGAATAGTAGGCGAAAACATATCAATTCCTAATTTTCATAATTAGTAAAAATGTTTGAGAATTATGTATCATTTGATCTTTGACGAATAAATTATTTTCTTGAATAAGTTAAATGCTTCGGGGACGAAGCATTCTTTTAAGGAGGGTAGAATGTGACACTCCATAAATTTAATAAAAAGAATTTAACATTAATTAAAATGTGACACCACACAATTATAGTTGCGGATATTTTTCTTAGCTTATGCTTCGGGACGAAGCATCTTTTAAGGAGGGTAGAATGTGACACCCCGAAAAATTTAAATAAAATAAATAATTTTATTAGTCAGATAAAATAAGTGAATCAGATAAAATTTTAACATCAATGACATTTTTTTAAGATAAAAATGTTTCAATAATAAAGTGACATTTTTGTAACAAGTGATAACTATAGAGATGGTATAAATAATAAAAGTGATATTTTAACAATTCTAATTCAAAGATATTGGTCAATAAAGTTGTACCGAAATATATAACAAAGTTGACTTTTTGAACCCAACCCCAATAATAATATGTACATTACTATACGTGGGATTCTTATATGATAGTTAATGACTAGTTATTTGAGATCATTTGAGTATATGATAGTTAATGAGATTTTACGTATCAATTGTGATTGTGAATTATATATATTCGAGAGATTCGAGTATTTTTATATTGGGTGATATTTTGAGCATTTGAATTTACATATGAATTGTTATTGGATTGATATTTGAGATTTGAGCTATTTATGAAGTATCCTATATTTTGGACTATTTATGGTATATTTGAGTATGATGAGTTGGAGTTAATAATTTCATTGTGAATAATTTTGTGGAATTTGGATTTCATATCCATTTTGATTTATGTTATGATACTTGAAATTGAGATTGGATTATGATTTTTGTGAGTACTCGGAGAAATGTGGATTTGGTGAGTGCTAATGATTATAAGTCTAATTCCACCAGGGATCTCCCAAAAGTGGAGCATCCCAGCTTAATTGTAGTAGTCGGTAGAAAAATCCCGACTACTCGGACTTTTTACTACCCGGAGAGCTTGGAATCTCTTTTAGGGGGTGTGCACACTTAAGGTAGGAGTTCGGCTTCCATTGGATTTGATTGAGTTTGAATGATTGGATTATGTTTGGATTTAATTGGACTTGGATTCCATTGGTATTGAGGTGAATTGGTTTTGAGGCTTTGAGGTGAATTTAATTTCATTGGAATTGAGGTGATTTGGATTATTTGGTTGGACTTGATTGAGGTGAATTGAATTATATTATATTGGATTATTTGAGTGTGTTATATTTTTTTGGATTGGATTGAATTTGAGATGGTTGAGGTTATTAAATTATTTATGGATTTCAAAAGTAATAATTTTGGATTTGATTAAATATAAGTACCTATATTTGGAATATTATTATTATTATTATTTTACATGTGATTTGTGATGAGAAGTTTGTATAAAGTGTTTTATAAGGTTTCCTCCCAAATGTTTTCACAAAATGATATATATGTATCAAACATGATTATTTTACAGGGTTGGGTGGGCCTTACTTAGCATTTCCAGCTAATTTTTGTTTCTTTGTGTTTTTCTTTCTGTACTTTATTTGTGCAGGAATTGAGGATCATATTGAAGTTGATTTCGAGAGCTTCCGCTAAAACACATAGACTAAAGTGATTGAGTAATTTATTTTAGTCTTAATTTTAAAGAATTGTAGTTGAACAGTTAATTATGGAAAATTTTAATTTGTTGGTGGTGGATAGCCTGTGCACTCGGTTATGTGAGAACCGAGTGTGGCGGTAACGCCCCTTATTTCCATTTAAATTTCCGCTGCACAATTCTGATGTTTTCAAATAAAGTTTAAATTCTTTTGAATAAATCATTATTCAAATGTATTTTTGGGTGGGAAATTTGGGGGTGTTACATGGGGAGCATATCCCATTTGGAGTAGGGAGACGTTGACGTCAGAACTACTTAGACTTCATACTACTCGGAGGGCTTGGAATCCCTTTAGGGGGTGTGCACACTTAAGGTAGAAGTCTAGATTCTAATAGAGGAGATGAGGTACCGAGAGTAGATCGGAGTGACCGTACAAAACAACGGATCACTGGGCTCAAGAATCGAGATAACGCTTGAGCACCGCCCTTCTAATTAGATGATTAGGAGAATTAGCTATAAAGCTATTTTGAGGAAAAATCAAATATTTTGGTACTTGGAGAGTTATTCTTTGGACTACTTACGAGAACTATTGAAGAAAATCTTTTGGAGATATTATTATTTTTTTTTGAAATTATTGGAAACTCATTTTTGTATACACTATACAAATACTTATTTTTCAACAAAACTATTATTTTACGGGGTTGGGTGGGACTTACTTAGCTCAAAAGCTAATTTTTGTGTTATTTGTTTCTTTTATTTTCTTATGTTACAGATGATGTGGTTTATGAAGATTGATGCATTGAGAGCACTCCTAGAAGACTTTTAGAGTAGTCTCAGTTAGAATGAACTTTGTTAGACTTCATTATTCCAAATGTTGAATTCAATAGTTACTTTAGATACATTATGGTGGTTAGCCGTAGCATCCAGTCGGGTTAGGGCTGGGTGTGGCGGTAACACGCCCCTTTTCCTTGTTAGTGTTTAATTCCGCTGCAAACAATCGAAAGTTTTGAATAATTAATAAAAGTTTATTATTTCTTAAGTATTATTTTGGGAGGGAAATTTGGGGGTGTTACACCTGGCTTTAGTGGAGTTTGCCTATAACAACAGTTATCAGGCAAGTATTGGCATGCCTCCGTACGAGGCACTGTACGGGAGGAAGTGTAGGACACCATTGTGTTGCGACGAGGTTGGTGAGGCCAAGCTCGAGGGAATAGAACTTGTTGAGATCACCAAGTCTAAGGTGAAAATCATTCGTGACAGACTTAAGGCTGCCCAAGATCGGCAGAAGAGCTATGCAGACAAACGGCGGAGGCCGTTGGAGTTTGAGGTCGGGGATGAAGTTTTTCTAAGGATTTCTCCTTGGAAAGGTATCATCCGATTCGTATCAAGGGGTAAGCTTAACCCCCGATACATTGGTCCGTTTGAGATCCTGGAGAGGATTGGGGTCGTAGCTTATCGTCTCAAGTTGACACCGGAACTTGAGAAGATCCATGATGTGTTTCATGTATCGATGCTCAAGAAGTATGTGCGGGACCCGTCGCATATTCTTGAGAAACCACCGGTGGAGATCCGAGAGGACTTGCAGTACGCAGTAGAACCAGTAAAGGTAGTGGGCCAACAGGTAAAGAAGCTTAGGAACAAGGAGATTCCTATGGTAAAGGTACTTTGGAGGAGTGATCGAGTCGAAGAAGAAACCTGGGAGACCGAGGTCTCAATGAGGGAGCAATAACCGTTTCTTTTCGATTAGACACGTTGATTTCGGGAACGAAATCCCAAACAAGGGGGGGTGAACTTGTAACACCGTCCCCAAATATATTTACCTTTATGTAAATTATGTATTGAACATGGCGTGTCTAGTAATGAATTTACGAGGTTGTAAATTTTTGTTATTTCTTTTGCGTGAAGAGTAAATTCCACGCGGGGCCCACACTCGGAGCGGGGGTAACCCGATAACACGAGACCACATGTTATATTCATCTTGGTCTAGATAATAGTTACATGGTGGTGGAAATTCATAATGGGCCATGAGAAAGGCATCGGGTTGACCGGTTTGTCAAACAGGGCCCAATTACCTGTACCGGCAATTTTTCAGATAACAGTCCGAAATGAATTTCGGAGACTTTTAAATTAAAGTTGGGGAATGTATATTCATTCTTAAGATCCATAATTGTTATGGACATTTAATATATTTTATTTGACCCGATAAAATAAAATATAATTAAAACAGTCCGAGAAATACAACTTTCGGGGTCGATTGTACACACCGGGACACAAAGGGATGACCTCCCACATGTGTGGGGGCCACCCCACGGTTTTGTCAACCTTTGGAGACTTGATTGAGTGCAAATGGGGCTGAAAACCCTTGAAGGGATGGGGGAGACCATCTTGACACCTAAGGGACCCCTCTCACACTCATATGGCTAATATGCCAAAAAGGAGAACCCATCCCATTTCCCTCATCACCCACCTGCGGCCAGAGCACCCCCAAGAGAGAGAGAGGAACCCCAAGACACCATTTCTCCATAGCCAAGAGAGCTCAAGAAAACAAGAAGCTCAAGGAAGAAGAGGAAGTTGCAAAAGTAGAGAAAAACCTTAAGAATAAAGGTGAGTAACTCCCTAACAACTTTTCTTACATCTTTTGATTTTCATATGACTTATATATCATATGAAGTACCCTTAAGATTGTTATACATGGTTATAAGTGTAGAACAATGGGTTGAAAGATGGTTCTAAGTCCAAGAACGGGCTTAGAAGCCAAAGAGACCGGTTCACCAGAAAATAACCTTATAGCAGCCATCAAACGACTTGCACCCTATTTTCAAGCTCATCCAGTTACCGTATATACAACTCAGCCGCTCACCAGAAATTCAATGGCAAGCGGGCGCATTACGAAATGGGCTCTCTTGATCGGGCAGTACGAGGTGGATTTCAAACCTCGACTTACCATCAAAGGCCAGGCCTTGGCAGATTTCATAGCAGAATGTATCGCTCGGCCATCAAAAACTGAATCAAACAACAATTCCTTGGATAATTGGTGGGAGATGTATGTGGATGGTGCCTCAAGTACAAAAGGTTGTGGCGGTAGAGCTGTAATTACGTCGCCTGGAGGACCGGCGGCCATAGTGGTAAGTTCGTCACTAGACTTCGGGTCATCTGGTTCAATTGTCTTGCTCCGATTCTGCATCAGTGTCCACTAACCCTACTATCAAGAGCAAAGAGAAGGTATGTATGTGAATCTCCAAGCTATTTAATTTCTATTTCAAATCATTGTAATATTTTGTTTTTCCATATGTGAATTATCATTTATGTTTCATCTCAAATTCTCAAAAGAGTGTGTTGGGTTAATGGCCCAAATAAAGGGCCGGCCCATTCACCCCCCTTATCCAGACGAACGTCTACCCCAGCGGGGCAGCCCACCCCGACGAACGTCTGCACGAAGACAAGTGGATCAAACCACAGACAATCTCAACGGCGACAGACGTCGCCTCCAGAATCCACAACCACTTGGCACCAGTCTAATCCATGTGACAAATCCTCCAAGGGCCAGGATACGAACGACCCATTACCCTTGCAGTGCCACCAAGAGTAGGCCCCCATCCCGGCTGGACGAACGTCTGCACAAATTAGGCGGGAAACTCAGATTCTGGCGGGA